CAGTGGACTCAAACACAGCAACCATTGTGAGGATGGCACAGGACCCAGCAGCATTTCATTCTGTTCTATGTATGTTAGCTGTGCGTTGGAACCGACTTGACAGCACATAACAAGAACGAAAAAAAAAAAAAAAAAAACAGTGGAGTCTGAGATTTGCATATTTAATAACTTTAACTTTATGTGGTTTGTAGATAAAGAACATTTAGGCTGATTTTATGGATTTATATCTCTGGGCTTTTGGGCATGAGCTGCTTTTTCTTTTCCCTATTTTCCAGTGGAATGAGGAGAGGTCCTAGTACCATAGTCAGGAAATTGGCAGGTGAGGAAAGAAGAATTAAGAAAACACTGAAAGAATGAAAAATTGTAACTGGGACATTGTGTACTTAGGTGTGCATGTATGCATATGCATACATATATAAAATACATAAAATGATTGAATGTGTCATTTCAGATATGGAGAAGAGTCATTAAAGAGATATAGTACATCTCAAGATTAAAAAAAAAACTGTTTAGAAAATAGAGTACCCCCTTCACTATGTACTTTTATTTTAAAAGTACAAAATATTTCAAACAGAAAAAGTTATACAAAACAATAAAATAGCCACTAATGTACATGCATCCTTAATATAACAGAAGTTAACATTTTAGTTAAGGAATGCTTTTTTTTAAATTTAAGTATGCATACTTGTAGTTATAGTCAGTAGAATGCTGGAGCTGGTGAGCACCAGCTTGTAAGAGTAGACTGTTAATTTTCAGAAATGTTGAGAGCCAGTTGACACATTGGTAATTTGAAATTAGCCATGGTGAAACTTTTTACACCACAGAAATGGACAAATGCTACAACTGGTGCTTTATTCTTTTGGCTGGAGAACTAGCTTTTTAACACTTACCATCATACACCTAGTTTACTGAGTTTAATAGCTACATTGTATTTTTCTTTAATATTTTATTGTGTTTTTGGTGAAAATTTACACGGCAATTTAGGGTCCCATTTAACAATTTCTATACATGTTGAGTGACTTTGGTTACTTTTTCACAATGTGCCAGCATTGTCATTATTTCCATTCTGGTTGTTCTGTTTCCATTGATCCAGCTTCCCTGTCCCTCCTTACCTTCTCACCTTTGGTCTCAGGTAAATATTTAGCATTTGGTTTCATTTAGATGATTATTTACAGGAGCACCGTACTCACTGGTGTTATTATTTATTTTACGAGCTAATCTGTCATTTGGCTGAAAGGTGACCTCTGGGAATCGTTAGAGTTCCATATTTAAAGAATATCCTTGAGTGATAGTCTCAGGAATTCCTCTAGCCTCTACCAGTCCAGGAAGTCTGGTTTTGTTTTTAGGAATTTGAGTTTTGTTCTACATTTTTCTCCCATTCTGTCTGGGACCATCTATTGTGTCCCTGGTTGGAACGGTCAGTAGTGGTAGCTGGACACCATCTAGTTTTTCTGGTCTCAAGGTAGGTGAGGCACTGGTTCTCATTGACTATTAGTCCTGTAGACTAGTTTCTTCTTTGAGTCTTTAGTTTCTTTCTTTCTCTTTTGTGCCTGAGGATCAGAGATCTATAGTTGTACCTTAGAGGGCCACTTGCAAGCTTTTAATACCCCGGTGCTACTCACCAAACTAGGATGTAGAACATTATCTTATGAACTATATTGTGCCAATTGACCGAGTTGCCCTTTGAGACTGTGGTCCTAAGCTGTCAAACCCAGTAAACCAATCCTGTGAGGTGTTTGGTTATATCTAGGAAGTATCCATAACTGGGCCCCCTATGTGCTTTATTTTTCATATGAGTATATGTGCAGCACACATACAATGTGTATGCATATGCCTACAGATACACCTGTACATACATATCCATCTATTCATATGTGCCTTCCTATACTATATATAAGGAGCCCTGATGGTGCACAGTGGTTAAAGCTATCGACTACTAACCAAAAGGTCAGCAGTTCAAAAACCATCAGCTGCTCTGCAGGAGAAAGATGTGGCAGCCTGCTTCCGTAGAGATTTGTAGCCTCAGAAACCCTACGGGGTCACTATGAGTTGAAATTAACTTGATGGCAGTGGGTGGGTTTATACGTATATATGCATACATATGTATTTACATGACCACACATTTTTTTAGTTATTTCTGTAGTTGCAAAATTGTATATATTCTATAATTTGCAAAATTGTCCCTTATTCTTGTGTACCTCTTAGTGTCATCATTTACTTCGCTCAAGTTGTGATGACTTCAGTTTTATTTTATATTGTCTTTCCCATCACCAAAACCAACAAGTGTCTACTGTCTAGAAAGTAATTGCCCCTTCCTCTCCCTGCCATCCTTGGTAACTAGCAATGAATGGTGCTTTCTATATGTATACCTATTCTTGTCATTTTATAATTATGAGATCAGTATTTGTCCTTTTGTGGTTGACTTATCTCACAAAGCATAATGTCCTGCATATTCATCCATGTTGTAATATATTTTGAGAACTTATAATTATTCTTTATGGGTGCATAATATTCCACTGTTTGCATGTACCACAATATGTTTATGCATTCGTGTTGTTGGACACTTAGGTTGTTTCCATCTTTTTACTTTTGTGAGTAATGCTGCAATGAACATAGGTTTGCATATTTCTATTCATTTCACTGCTATTAGATTTCTAGTGTACATGCTTAGTAGTGGGATTACTGGGTCATAGGGTAATTTTATTTTAGCTTTTTGAGGAAGCGCTATATTGTTTTCCATAGTAGTTGAACCAATTTACAATCCCACTAGCAGTGGAGCAGGGTTCCAATCTCCCTGTAACCTCACCAGCATTTATTGTTTTCTGTTTTTTTGATCACTGCCATTTTTGCAGAGGTGAGATAGTGTCGTGGTTTTAATTTGCATCTCTGTAATGGTTAATGATCCTGAACATCTTATTATGTGTTTGTTGGCTACTTAAATGTCCTCTTTGGTGAAGTGTCTGTTCATGTCCTTTGCCCACTTTTTAATTGGTTTGTTTGTCTTTTTGCTATTGAGTTGATGAAATTTTCTGTATATTTTAGAGGTTAGACTCTTGTCAGATATGTCATTCCTGAAGATTTTTTTCCCAGTCTGTAGTATCTCTTTTTACTCTTTTGATGAAGTCTTTCAATGAGCATAGGTAATTTTATTTTCAGGAGGTGCTACATTATATTTTATTGAATGAATAAATCACAGTTTATTTATCCATTCTCCTACCTATAGATATTTGGATCTTTCCCATCTTTAACTCTTATGAACAATGCTGAGTTGAACAGTCTTATACATGTCTCCTTGATCACATATGCAAGAGTAATTCGAATGTAGAAATCCACACATACAATTGCTGGGTCCTGTGGTTTGTTCATCTTCAACCTTACTAGATATTAACAAATTGTTTTCTAAAATGACTAACACTTTATACTTCCCCTCATAATTTTAGTTTTTTTTTCCCTCATATTGAGTAGTATGAAAATATAGCTCAATGTTTTACTTAGCATTTCACCGACAAGAATTAAGGTTGAAGGTCATGAACAATTCTCTCTGTTGCGACTTTCCTCTGTCCTTTGTGGTATCTTTGACATATAGAAGTTTAAAAATTCAGATTGTGGATCTCTTTTAATTTTATTGGCCATATATTTTCTGTTTTGATAACTTGTCCATTTTTTGATATGATTGTTGATCTTTTTTCTTATTGAACTGTTCAAGATCTTTACATGTCCTGAATATTTATCCTGTGATGGTTATTTCCATGACAAAGATCACATTGGTGGCTTGAGTTCTCACCGTATTTATGATGCTTTTCAACGTGTAGAAGTAGTAAATTTTATTAAAGTTAAATACTTCAATCATTTTCTTTATAGTTTATGCTTATTGGTCTTGTGTGAGATACCCTGATATCATAAATATATTTTCTAATATTTAATTTTGAATGTGGACGGGAATGCTTTTAGCATTTAGGTTCTTTTTGTTACTTCCTTGAAATGGTATAAATAGACTGTAATGCCAAAGATATAGATGTTTGCAAAGAATACAGATTTTGGTTTGACTCCACATTATTCATCAGTATTTTATTGTCATTCTGTGGTAGGCTATGCTACACATTTGGAATACTGGAATACATAGGGCATGGCCTCAGTGTGTTGGTGGGAGAAAATCTATTATGCATGTTTAGTTTTAAGGCTAAGAGAAACTTACACATTTACTGTAGGAGAATGGGCAAGTTGGGGGCAGTGAACGATTTGCCATGGGACCGTCAACTGTCCTGTTAATTCAGATATACTTTGGGCTAGTGGCAATTTTATGGAAAATTGACATTACCCTAGTGTCTTAGTCATCTAGTGCTGCTACAACAGAAATACCACAAGTGGATGGTTTTAATGAAGAGAAGTTTATTTTCTCACAAAGTAGGCTAGAAGTCCAAATTCAGGGCATCAGCTCCAGGAGAAGGCTTTTTCTGTTGTCCTTCTTCTCTACAGTGTTCCCGGAGCTTCTCTGCGCAGGGACCCTGGTCCAAAGGATGCGCTCTGCTCCTGGCACTGCTTTCTTGATGGTATGAGGTCCCCCTGTCTCTCTGCTCACTTCTGTCTTTTGTATCTCAAGAGATTGCCTCAGGACACAATCCAGTCTTGTAGATCCAGACCTGCCTTACTAACACAACTGCCATCCATCCTCCCTCATTAACATCATAGAGGCAGGTTTACAACATACAGGAAAATCACACAGTACCAGGAATCATGGCCTAGCCAAAGACACACACATTTTTTGGGGGGACATAATTCAAACCATGACACCTAGTGTCAGCGCTATATCCTTTAAAGGATTCCAATATTTACCTACATTCTTTCCTGATTGAATTACAATGGTAAAAAATTGTGGATCTACATGGACATTTCCCCCTAACTTAGCAGCAAGAATGATTTATCACAGATATTGATTGTTAAAATGCTTTAGATTTATGGAAAGGTTAAAAACCTTTTTTAAAGACTGGTTTCTGTTGCAGAGGCGGAATGGAGAAGATATACCAGTAGCCCAGACTAAGAACATCAATCACAGAAGATTTGCTGCTTCCTTTAGATTGCAAGAAGTGACAAAAACTGACCAGGATTTGTATCGCTGTGTAACTCAGTCAGAACGAGGTTCTGGCGTGTCCAACTTTGCTCAACTTATTGTGAGAGGTAAAGAAAAATTGTTTTGACTTCATAAAATCAGATGGCTTTATTAGAACAAAAGCAACTTTATAGATATTTGGATTGATTTTTTAAGCTGCAGTATTCTTTATTTGAAATCCCTGTAACAACCATACCATTGTGAAATTCTGATAATATCTGAAGGTAAATTTAAGAATGTAGTTATAAAGTTTGTCAGTCCAGTTTTTAACAAGTGTTTCTGTTGAAGGGAATCTATTTTAAAAGGTCTAATTTGGCTAAACATACAAAATACCTTGTTCTATATTACCATTATCTAGTTCTTGATTTAACTTTAGATTATTTCTTCCTGTTTAAAACAATTCTGCAGATACTACTTTTGTTCTTCAAAGCATTGTGGCTTTGAGGCCAAGGTCAAAGGTCCTATGTCCATATTGACCTATAAATTTTACCAGTATCAAAATCTAGTGGTGGATGTTCATGAATTCTAGTTCCTTACACAATCTTAGAACGTTAGAACTGTTAGGAAATCCTTATTCAGATTCTTGGACACTAAGGTTACTAGAGATATTGGGTGGGATCATGACATACCAGTGCACATCTGCGGTGAAGGCTAGAAAAACGAATACTAGTTCACAGTGTATATTGCATTCATTCAAAATTTACTGAGTCTCTATTGTATTCCAGATGCCGTTTCAGATTGTAGAGATACAATTTTCAATAAAATACAAAGTTCTAGACTACATGGCATTAAATATTGAGGTATGTTAGGAACACAATATAGAAAAAGAATGAAAATGTAGTATCAAGCCCAAGTTATGCTGAATGAAGAAAAATAAAGAAACAAAATGATAGGAATTGAGGTTTTTATTAAGGTGATCTAGGAAGGCCTCTTTGAGAAGGTGACAATTGAACCAATACCTTAAAAAAGTGCAGATGCCGTACATATGAAAATTTAAAGGAAAAGCAGCTCAGTAATAGGTATCAAACATCAATCAATAATCCCACAAATGAAAAAAATTGTAAACTGTGTAAATAGTTTTAAGAGGAAGTTTGGGAGACCATAACAAAAACATCTAAACTGGGCTGAGATTTCTCAGAGATGTCAGGGAAGGCCTTTATGAATGAGTCTTCTTTGAGACAATACCTGAAGGTTGAGAGAAAGTTGCCCAGGTGAGGGGTGGGAGTCCGGGAGCAAGGGTAGGAGAAATAAGTGCTAACAGGCAGACAGCACATCATGTGCCAGGGCCCAGAGGCTTCAGGGAGAATATTAGCTACATCCATCTTCGAGTTAAGGTATTTTATAATGCTTGACATCGAGTGTCTTTTACATACATTATTTTGTCTCAAGATTTACTTGATTTTAATACTTTAACCTTTAATACTTTTATAGAGAAGGAAATTGAAATTCAGACTATTTGATGATTCACCCAGAGCCACAAAAATCTAATAATTGTCTGATCCAGAATTTAACCCCATGTTTCTTGACTCCTAATGCTTGGCTCAGTTGTTCCACCATAGCTTTCTCACACATTACCATTATTAAATGATGCTATTAGTCTCTTGTATGCTTTTGTCTTGTCAGAGCTGATAGGTCATCAAAGAAAAGTATCTTTGTAGATTGGATATGACTCTTTTTATTTAAACTTCTCTCATGTCTCCAGAGTCTGCTCATGGCATCTATACAAGTTCATGAAATCATAGCCCAATTTATTGAATGATAAGAAAATATGATAGTATTTGACTCTGGTGTTCAGGCAGAGACAGTTATCACATGTACATACTTTCTTGTATATTTATCTTTGCTGAGCCTCATTCCAGCACCTCTCTCACCTGAGCTTACTGTTCAAAGCCTGAAGGTGTCCTTGGGTTATCCTCAGAGTGATTAATATGCTATGAATTAAGGAGAAGGTGGGTGTGCTATTGTCATTATGCTCGTTGTGTCTTAAGGTATTGTATGTGCATTCCCAATATGCAGCAAATGAACAAGTTAGGGCCTTTTAATAGTGCAGCAAAAGTTCCTTTGAATACCTTAAAGTTATATATAGTTTGAGAAAGTGGTCTTATGATGTGTTCATTTGACACATTGTAGAGGACAGAGTCAAAGTTTCTATCCAAGTGCTTCCTTTATATATATAGTCCCTTCCTTGGGATAGCCATTTTATGCCTGTTTATTTTAAAAGGGAATTACTTTGTTATTATGAGGTCTTCCTTGTTTATTTTATTCTACAAGTAGATTTTATCATTTTATCAAAGCCTGGTTTTTGTTACCTGAAGACAACTACATTGTCACTGTTCTGGGAGTATTACTTATGAAATAATTATTTCAACAAAATCTATAAAGGGAGACTTCTTAAATTTCATAGGAAGTTTAGCTTTTTTTTTTTTTTTCCTTTTTATTTTTTAAAGGCAATACGGACAGGTAACATATTTTGTTTTAGATTTTATACTGTAAATATTGGGTTAAAATACGATGGTGCTTTAAAATGTGTTATCCAGAGTCTGCTAACATTTTAAAAATAGGTTTTGGTAGATTTGACAGTTTATATTTTCTTTTCAACATATTTTAGGTTGTTAGTATATATCTTGTAGTTATAAGTGATACTTTGCTTGCTGTTTTATTTGAACACCAATATAGAGGAATACATTTTCTTATTTGCCTAGATAACCGCCAAATAAATATTCTTAGCCAAAAGCATACCCTTGGGGGTAGGCTGTCTTGGTGTTGAAACAATGCTGAGAATTAGCTATTGGTGACAGGCCCTGTCTCTCATTAGCACTTTTAAAACTGACATCCTGTTACATGGATAAAAAAGATGGTAATTTTAAAGGAAATTTTTGGGCCAGTGATATGAATAGTCTTTAATAAGAGCTGGCATGGTATTGCCTGTTGTCAAAGACGACCCAAGGGTAAAAGTTTATTAGCGCATTTTCTCCTAGACTGAAAGTGACAGGGCATGCTTAAGACTTTTTTGTTGCTGTTTGTTACAAATGGTAATTTCACTGCAAAATTCTCATGCTGAAGAGTATTGATCTATTTGTTCCCTCAGCCAGCGGAAAGGAAAAAAAAAGTATAGTGAAACACAGTTTACTCTGTCATGACTTTAGCATTGCTTCCAGATCACCTTGAGTAATGATAATGTCTTCAGCTTGTGGAAGCCGATCCTTATTGACAACGAAGTTTTTACAGAGATGAGAGGAAGAGCAGACGTTTTTGCTCGATGTTTCTAAAAAATTGAAGTGTAAAAAAAGTGAAATACAGGTTGAAATGGTGTTTATAAGCTTCAAACTGAAAATCCCAACTTTGTAGTCTAAGTTATGCTATAGATTGTTCTGTTCATTCTCTGTCTCCCTTGCAGTCTTCTCCTTCTTCCTTTCCACTTGTCTGATTCAAAGACCCATTTACATCTCCGACCAAACTGACCAACAGTAAACTTCTGTAAGATTCTATTTGCCACAAATTCAGAAACTACACTCAGTTTCTGTCCTCAGTTGTTAGTGGTTTTATAACTATTATTTTTATCTCTGAATCCCCAGTTACATTTTAAGTTCTTTAATGTGAGGAGCACGGGTTTTGTTTGCCGTTATTGTTTGATCATTTTCTAAATTTTTTGTATTAACCATTAGCCCTTATCAAAAAACCCTGGATATAAAGCATTCAGTTAGTATTTTCACGTATTCCTGATGAACAGCAGTGACCTCTAACTGCAAATTATGGTGAAAGTCACTCCATTTATCCAGCCGTGCTCAGAGTAGGTAGATCTATAAAACAAATTGTGGTGTTCAAAATCATAAGGAATACGAATTGATGTTGTCATTTTTCTTTGTAATACAGCACAATATAGCTTAAGAGTAAGGATGTTTACTGGTTTTTGTGACTGGAAAGTGCAGAGATAAGCTTCAGGGTTGGTTCATCTAATCATGAAGGACCCAGATTTTGTCCAAGTCTTCATTCTGCAGTCCATGGAGTTGGCCCCTTTTCTAAGCAGTCTCTCTCAGTGTTTATAGGATAGCAATCTAGCTACACACTTTCTTGATCATGTCCTGTTGGGGAAAGAAAGGGCACCAACTCCCACAACTATAAAAAGAGTACATGGCTGCATATTGGAGAAACAGCTTGAGAACTTCTTGTACATGAGGCTCCAGAGCATATGCAGTGCTATTTAGAGAGATTTATTAATTCTATTCAGGTAAAACAGGAACTGAGGAGATATTTCAAGAGGAGGTACAATTTAAACTTGAAGGACTTAAGAGTTTAGATGATGGAAATGTGGGAGAAGGGCATTATCACCATAAGTCAGGTAACTGCATGGAGTGGGGTCATAGTTTATTTGGTGAATGACAAGCTGTTAATAGTTAAGCAACTGAATCACTTGCATAGTATCAGTACCTAGTACACATGTGAAGAGGAAAGAAGTCAAAACTAATACTAGATTTGTATTTGAATGATTAGGGAACTGCTGATTTTTCAATTCCAATGGACAGCACAAAAATGAGGAATATTTGGGATTGGGTAGGAGTGAAAGCATAGCATGCAAATAGAAATGTCCAGTTGGAGCTTTGGTTCTAGAGGTCAGTAAAGAGATTGGGCTGGGATTGAATTTGGGTTGTCTGGTGTTTTGATATGCTAGTTGAAATATCTTGAGTAGATAAACTCACCCAGGTAAGAATAACTCAGGATTATTTCTGAGACCTAAGATCCACCTTTTCAAAAAGGTAGAGGCAGAAGATTAAACAGCAGAAACTGAGAACAGTTAGGGAAGTAGATGTACCACTTTCTACATAGATTCTTTCTTCCAGAATTCTTCCTGGAAGTACTCTGTCTCTCATTTGAGATAATCCTTTGAGATATCTCAACTTTGAGGTACTGACACTTTGTAATGCTAGTATGTTGTTTTCATTTCTGTTTGTATTATAATTATTTGTAGTTTATGTTCCATCACAAGGAGCCCTGGTGGTAGTGCAATGGTTAAGCACTTGGCTGCTAACCACATGGTCTGCAGTTTGAATCTATCCAGCAGCTCCGCAAT